AAAGTCTTGATTCTTTTCAACGTTGAGGAATTTCGCTCAGCCTCTGATGTTGACATAGGAGTTGTAACAATAATTTCTAATAGCTTTTTTGTTTCTTTTAGTGTCCCCTCCAAACTATTTTGTATCAAGAATTTCAAAAGAGACATGGTTCCATGTAAATCTCGGCAATCATTCCGTGCATAAATAACAGACAACTCTGTATTTAAACGACTTTTTTCTAATTCGGGATAAGCCCCGCAGGTAGTTTCCAACTTGTCATCAGGAAATTTACCACAGTATTCTCCAAAGTGTTCGGGGAAAAAAAGGGATGCGGCTATCAAATGATCTTTGAATTGCAGAATTCACTATATTGTCGCATACTTCTAATGCGGCAACTCGGCGATCGTGACTGTTATTATTACGTCGTCTCCTTTTGTTGCCTTGGGGTTCAGTGCAAATACTTTTGGCTTCATTTATTATGTCTTCAATTTTATTTCTCACATCGACAATACATTTTTCAAAATTATCGTTAGCCGTTTTAACTTGCGCTGGCTCGGTTTTTCTCTTCTGCAACTGGTTGAACAAGATGTCGACGTGAGGCATGACATGACGAAAAAATGTCAACCAGAACATGAAAACAGAATGGTTTAACACACGGCGAATACCGCAAACTGCCTTGCAAACGGTTTCATTAGTGAAATTTTATTCTATTTCTTCCATGCAATCAATGAGTGATTCTCTGTTCTCAAACACTACATTTATTGCTCGAATATTAAAATTCCAACGAGTTGCTGCTCCTTGGGGAATTTTTTTCCCCACAATTCTGTTCAGTACCTCTACGCGTTGAGGAGAATTATTAAAAAATCCCGGAATATCTTTCAAATCCCCAAACAACACCCAAACTTGAGCAATTGCGGAAGCAGCTTGGGACATAATCAGGTTTAACTGATGCGCATAGCAATGCACATAGTGATCAAATGGATATCTTTGTTTAATTTTTGCCTGTACTCCAGCATTATGTCCGCCCATTACCGCGGCTCCATCATATCTTTGTGAAATCAGTTTGTTAGGGAAATTTCCTATTAATGGATCTACGACGCTTAAAACATGTCTTGTGAGAGCATCAGCGTCACATTTTTCGGGATTCATATAATTCCAAAAACGTTCTACTGGTTCGCCGTGAAATACGTATCTGAAAATTGTTACCAGTTGGGTTTTCCCCGAAATGTCCGTTGTTCCATCTGCTATTATCGCCAAATACGAGGCTCTTTTAATCTGTTTTATTATTTCTTCATGACAAACTTCAAGAATACAATTCAGTAGATCGTTTTGTATTTCTTTCAAAGTTCATTTAAATATTGAAGCATTTTTTATGTGTTCGCTTAAGGTTGTATCAAGCTCAGCAGAAAAATTAATCAGTCCACGAAATATTCCTGGGTTTTGGGAGCTTTCGGTTTCGTCGTAGACCCGTAGCGCCAAATCAAATGCTCCGCAAAATTTTATACTGAGCACCGACCGACCAATCAGATATCGTACTTCGCATTAGATCTGTACGGATCTGTATAACGTGCAGCACATGCTTATGCTTAAATCGCACCCTTTTCAAGTGGCCCATGAATAATGTTACGCTGCGGTCGATTATAATGCTTTCTCAATACAAAACAGACTCGACGCTGTGTCTTGTGTGATAACATGGAAAATAAATAATGATCAAATTACTATACTGCTTTTTTCTGTTAATACAAAAGTTTTGACAGTTCTGCAGAACTTAAGGGCCAGCCGCTCCTGACGTACCATCTATTGCCAGAATCGCAGTTTATGCTGGCTTATTTCAACAGTTCGCATATTATATCGAAGCAGTAATTGAAAATTTATTCTTCAGACTTACTATAAAGTGGGAATTCTTTGGATGGGATGTAACGTTTACCGTGGGCTGACGGACTTTCTTTGGCTAAATTAGTAACGATATTTACTACAGTTTCCTCATCTACGTCGTCGTCAAACAGAGATTAGACATAGACAAATGTTGGCAGAATTTTTTGTAAAGCTGCTTTTGTAATTGGTTTTGTCAATTATTTCGTAAGCCTTCATTGCCTTTATAGGTTCAATTACATGCTCATTATCCACAGTGTCTACGATATCATATACTTTTACATGTTTATAATCGTTAAATTATTTTTTTTGTACTTTTAAAGGGTTTAGTGGCAGAATAGCTTCAAACTAAAATTCGCTCTCAATAAGAGGCGTTTATTATTATTATAAATCAGTTAACATCCAACAATCATGAACTCAATCAATACTTTCTCGCCAGTAGGCGTGATAAGTAAAACGATGCTAAAGGGTGTTTCAATAAGGATGCAATTTTTCAAGGCTCTATTAAACATGGTATTTCGTAACAAACAACTGAAATATTTATTGGAATATGACTTTGGAATTATGTATGAAACACATCAGGTAAATGGCTGCCACGTCTCCGCTGGCACATGCGCACTCTTTTAATAAAATTTGAGGTAACTTTTTTGAATATGTAGTGGTATCTCATTGATACAGCGTCAGCTTTCAATGCTTCGGTGTGACTTCAGATAACCCCAAAGCCAAAAGTCCAAAGGTGTTGAATCGCAAAAGCGTGGTCACCAAACCGGGAGATGACTCGATCAGGAACAAACTCGTGCAAAATTGACAATGTTTGATAAGCAGCATCCTGCTGAAACCGTATGTCATTAAGAGCCATGGCTTCTAATTGTAGCACGAAAAACTGAGTAGTCATTGCACGATAACGTTCGCCATTCACTGTTAATGGATTACCCGGCTCGTACTCAAAGAAGAACGGTCCAATAATTCCTCCAGACCATAGTGCACACCAAACAGTGACACCTTTTGGAAGCATAGCTTTCTCATGAATTACTGTTGGATTCTCTGTGCCCCAAACGCGGCAGTTTTGTCTATTGACGAAGCCATCGAGATCAAAATGGGTCTCAGCGCTAAAAATGATTCTGTCTACAAAATCAGCATTCACATACTGTTGGCCAAGTTAATAAACCCTCTTCGCTGTGCATGGTCTGTTGAGTCAATTAGACTTTGTAGGCGTGCAGGTGTAAATCTTTCGTTAGAATACGCTAGAGAGTGACTGTTTTAATGTCCAATTCATGAGCGCGATGACGAATCGACGTTCCTGGACTCTCGCCTACATTTTCGCGACTGCTCTGACATTTTCTTCTGAACGACCGCTGCGAGCTCGTCTCGTATGTTTCACATCCTTGACAAAACCAGTACTTTCAAATTCTTGGATTATTCTTTTCACAGTGGATGGAGTAGGAACATTATTCCGACCGAACACTAGCTGCACTTTTCGAATCACCACTTTGATAATAATTTTTAACAATTAGCATACCATGTTCTATTGTGGAATGATTAATTTTCACAAACTCCCGCCTGTCTACTATCGATCTGTCATGTCACAATCATCATGACATTGTGGCTGCCAAAATGGCGCTAATTTCAAATATTGCGTCCTTACTGATACACCCTTTAGAAAAAAATGGACTTTTGAAATTGTTCTTGATTTCGTAATTATAAAAATTCAAGATAGAGAGTTCTTCACAGAGAGGCTTCATCAGAGTTTTTCGTACTACCAGGGTGGGTCCCAGAAGTACCCGGCCTGACCTTAAGATGGCGATAGTTGTTTGAAAACTATCATTGTATTCGAAAGTATGCAACCTATAAAGAATATGAGTCAAGTATGAAGACCACGTTGTTTAGTATTTGTTTGGCAGCCATCAATACTGAACGTTTTCAGCGAATTTGTGAAAATGGAGAAAATTGGTCATCGTTGTGTGGTGCAATACTTTTATTTCAAAGGCCTCAGCCCAACCAATATAAAAGCTGAACTGGATTCTACTCTGGGTGAGTCTGCTCCTTCGTTTACAACAGTAAAATATTGGGTAGCAGAGTTTAAACGAGGCCGTATGAGCTGCCAAGACGAGCATTGCAGTGGTCGACCAAATGAGGTGACGATTCCAGAAATGCTGAAAATTCACAAAGCGGTACTGAATGATCGTCGACTGAAAGTGCGCGAGCTAGCAGACATAGTAGGCATTCAAAAAAGTGCGGTTCATCGCAAATTATCTGAAAAAATTTGGACATGAGAAGGCTGTGTGCAAGACGTGTGCCGCGATTACTCACAATCGAGCAAAAACAATGTCGTGAAGATGTTTCAATTGAGTGTTTAGCGAAGTTTCACAGCAACAAAGCAGAATTTTTGCGTCGTTTCAGGACCATGGATGAAACATGGGTCATCACTTCACACTCGAGACAAAAGAACAATCAAAACAATGGACTCAAGAGGGACAACCAGCTCCAAAGAAGGCGAAGACCGATTCATCTGCAAGCAAGGTTATGGCGTCGGTTTTTGAGATGCGCGTGGGATAATTTTCATTGAAAAAGGTGAAACTATCAACGGCGAGTATTATGCGAAATTATTGCAACGTTTTTGCGATGAAATCGAGCAAAAACGGCCACATTTGGTTAAGAAGAAAGCGTTGTTTCATCAAGACACTGCACCAGCTCACAAATCCGTTATTGCAATGGCCAAAATTAACGAATTAAAGTTTGAATTGCTACCTCATGCACCCTATTCACCAGATCTAGCCCTCTCGGATTATTTTCTGTTTCCAAACTTAAAAAAATGGCTCAGTGGTCAAAGATTTTCCAACGATAAAGAAGTGATGTCCGCAGTTAATGGCTATTTTGAGGAGCAAGACAGTTCTTATTATAAAAAGGGTATCGAACTTATTGAACATCACTGGGAAAAGTGTATAGAGCTCAAAGGAGATTATGTTGAAAAATAAGTACATTTTTTTACAAAATTTTTGTCTTTTCTCCGTTGGGTCGGGTACTTCTGGGACCACCCTCGTATACCACTACAATGAACCCTCTGTCCTGGAATTATTGCCACTACGTATTGATATGCGTGTTTGGAATAAAGACGGTCCCCAAACAGTTGGAGTTATTTTTCTTATTTGCAGTTTCAGTCATCCGAAAATTCGATCCCGCTTGGAGAAGTTGATGGGCAATAACGTCTTCAGTTTGACTGATAGGGAGTATATGCAAAAATTGCAGGAGAAGTTACTTGAAGATTATGCCGACTCGATGAATGAGAGGATTAAAAACAGAGAGGTAAATAGACAAATTTTCATGAGGTGTGTTCCAACAGGTACTTCGGGAGGTAAATTAGGTGTCTGATGCTACGAGGGATGTCTTTTAAGATTTGCATATAGAAACATATACTAAGTGACATATAAATCCGAACACCCAGTTTAAATAATTTTATTTTAATAAAATTTTGTATAAGTACTTAATGAAGCATAATAAGTAAATGATAAAAATTTCAAAATGATTGCACTGCTTTAAAGCCCTTTGACCTTTAATAATGTGTGGATGCACCCTGATGTGCTACGCATTCTCCAACGCGCCTAGGCATGCTTCTGATCAGGTGGTCTATGTCCTCCTGTGGTATCTCATTCCAGGGAACCACCAACTCCTCTCGAAGTGCTTCTAGAGTCTGAGGAGGACGTTGCAAATTGAGCAATCTCCTACCCATCATATCCCACACGTGCTCAATTGGGGATAAGTCGGGAGATCTTGGTGGCCATGGTAACAATGTGACATCATTATGATGAAAGTCTATTGTGACTCTGGCAACATGTGGTCGGGCATTATCTTGTTGGAAAGTTGGATCTGCCAGGGTGTCAAGATAGGGTAAAAGATGGGGTTCTAGAAGTTCGTGGATATAACGCTGCGCGTTCATGTTACCTCTGATGAAGATTAAAGGTGACCTGGAACCATAAGCTATAGCACCCCAAACCATAACTCCAACAGTGTGATGAACATGTCTTTCAACAAAAAACTGTGGATTCCTCCTTTCACCACGTCGCCTTCTAACCCTGGCACGACCATCGTGCATGCCTAAACAAAATGGAGACCCGTCACTAAAGACAATACTGTTCCATTCCTGATCAGAGAGTGACCGTTGTCTGCACCACTCAAGGCGATTACGTCGGTGTAAGGGTTAGATGGCGACGTGGTGAAAGGAGGAATCCACAGTTTTTTGTTGAAAGACATGTTCATCACACTGTTGGAGTTATGGTTTGAGGTGCTATAGCTTATGGTTCCAGGTCACCTTTAATCTTCATCAAAGGTAACATGAACGCGCAGCGTTATATCCACGAAGTTCTAGAACCCCATCTTTTACCCTATCTTGACACCCTGGCAGATCGAACTTTCCAACAAGATAATGCCCGACCACACGTTGCAAAAGTCACAATAGACTTCTTTCAACATAATGATGTCACATTGTTACCATGGCCACCAAGATCTCCCGACTTATCCCCAATTGAGCACGTGTGGGATATGATGGGTAGGAGATTGCTCAATTTGCAACGTCCTCCTCAGACTCTAGAAGCACTTCGAGAGGAGTTGGTGGTTGCCTGGAATGAGATACCACAGGAGGACATTGACCACCTGATCAGAAGCATGCCTAGGCGCGTTGGAGAATGCGTAGCACATCAGGGTGCATCCACACATTATTAAAGGTTAAAGGGCTTTAAAGCAGTGCAATCATTTTGAAGTTTTTATCATTTACTTATTATGCTTCATTAAGTACTTATTCAAAATTTTATTAAAATAAAACCATTTAAACTGGGAGTTCGGATTTATATGTCACTTAGTATATATTACTTTGCGTTGTGTTTTTTCGAGTTTTTTCACAGGAAAAAATACATGCCCAAATGCTATTTGACAAGAGTATTTCATGAGTAAGAGATTAGAAAACTTACTACCTATTAAAGTATTTTTAAGTACCTGTAAATTACGATCGAACTTCACTTAAGGTAAGTTCGTTTGATCGATTAATTATATTATATTAAGAAAATCTATTCCAGGGAATCGTAAACGCGTCAATATATGCAGATCCTGGATCTCTATGCCAGGAGACATATAACTTGCATTTAGCATTTGTATGGGAAGCAAAAAGATTAATTTCTAGGTTTCCGAAAACGGTGGTTAAACGGTCGAAGGCGGTTTGACATAACGACCATTCCGTTTCAAAATTCGAACTCCTGGACTCGGCGTCTGCTATAACATCATCCTTCGAAGGGATGTATGGAGCGAAGAGCCCGAGGTTCCTTAGCTCACACCATTACCAAATTTGTTTTGACAACGAACAGAGGTCTGGGAATTGAACACTCCCCATTCTGTTGATGTATGAAACAGCTCGTGTTGTCACATCTAATTAGAATATTGCAGCTTTACAAATTTTTGGCATAGCACTGAATCCCGTACAAAATAGCCCATAACTCCAAATTTATTTATATGTAACCGTTTTTTGAGAGTCAGACCAGAATCCATGGGTTCTGTCATGACCACAACAAGCACCCCATCCTGTAAGTGATGCGTCGGTAAAAATTGTTATATGAAAGGAATCATACCTGATGTCGTTGATGGCTTTTGAAATATGATTTGTCTACCAAAAAATATCTGGCTTCATGCTTTTAGGGATAGGGATACCTGCATTATAATTTCCATATTTCTTTCTAAGGCTAGAAATTTTACACCGGGACAGGCAGACACTAAAACACCAATAAACCTTGCCCAGTCACGAATTTTACATGTCTGTCGATTCATATAATATGAGGCCAACCTGATTATGTGATTTTTCTTTTCGTCAGGAAGTTCTATTTTGAAATGGACACTATCTATCATAAAGCCTAGAAATTTTATTTAAGTGGTAGGTACTAGGATGCTTTTGTTTTTATTGATTATAACTTTTTGTGAGTCAATTTAATAGCCGTTCGTAGGTCCTCCATTTTAAAATGCGGACATTCCACATATTAATTTAATTGCTTTAGATTTAAAATAAACCTTTTTCTACCGCTGGATTTATCTGCTAGGAAACATGGAGAGATAAATTGTTCGGGCCTTGACTCAGATTTGAGTATGGCTCCGGACCTTAACAAATCGTTTATAGCTAATCTTACTAACGATGTTTCTGTAGGGGAAACATTATTTTTAACCAAGTGGTGGCATGATGGAGGATTGTCTTTAAAGGGAATCCTATAACCTTGAAGCCAGGATAAGACTGTCAAATTTGAGGTTAGTTTGGACCAAGAGTCCAAATAAAACTGTAAACGGCCAGCAAACGGAACTTGTTTTACCTTCAGCGTTTCCTGGTTTGCTGTTGTCTGTTCTGAGGAAACTGTTTCGAGGAATGGCCTCACCTCCCTCTTGCGGTAAGACGGGCAATACCTGTTTAAAGGTCCTGCATTCTTGGACGAGCTGCCCCCCCGCCTCTTCTTTCGGAATGATTGAAGGCCCGCGCTGATTGAGAGCTAGTGCGTGAGGGGATAGAAGGCAAACGTAAGTCCTGTCCTGCCTTTTCCAAAGATTTCAAATTTTTTGCTCGTTCACCTAAATCTGGCCCAAACAAAAACTCACCAGGTATGGTATTTTCAGTCAGTTCTTTAACTGATTTGTTAAGTACTGGGCTAATTAAATATTTCCTTGTTTTCGAAATATCGTGGAAAAGAGCCGCCAATATTCGTGCAGAATCTGTCAAATTTGATAAGACTTTTTCCCTGATGTCTTTAGGGATGATGGATTCGTCTTCCAAGATAACGTTGAGTGCTTTTCCCAGGGCGGTTAGTCCGTTACCAATGTGCAATTGGTACCCGGAATGAGTGGAATCCCTAGTTAAATGTGGGGATGAAAGAATAGCTTTCACTTCGGGATTTACTCGCTAAAGCGCAATTAGATGGCACATTTTGTTTTTCGCTAAGGATAGAAATATCTTCGGCTGATAGCCCGTTTGCCAAAATATGGGACCACCTGGAGGCTAGGGCACCGTGAAGTTTAAAACTAGACGTATTAGCCTTTTCAGGATCGGCACCCAGAATATTTAATGTGTCCTCTGATAATGGCATACAATCGGCATCGTCAAGTATCAAAACATCGTCCATACTGTTTTGCATTGTTGGCGCCGCTCCCAAATCCGGCCCTGTCAGTACCTGAGCTTCCGGCCCGCACGGGGAACGACCAGCCAGGCCTACCTGACGCTGGGCTGGATGAATTCTGGTTTTTTCGCACATATTCCCGTCTCTCTCTACGTCGTCTCGACACGCTCGGTGATCGACTACGACTGATACTACTCCGCGAACGGGACCTTGAACGTCTACGGCTCAGCCGAGAACGAGAACGCCTAAAGTAATGGGGCGAATCGGCACGACACCTCGGCCTGCTGCTTCTACCCTCAAGTTCCTGGTGTAAAATTTCCCTGATAAGACTCCTCAAGGAACTGGGAGAATTAACCTCCAAATCCCCGTCCCTGCCGCCAGGTTTTTCTTCCATGGTTTTCTGCTAAGTATATATTATATTATATATAACGTGCTACTAGATGAGCAACAAAACAACCCATTGTTGTACATACTTACCAACCTACTCACCAAGCACTAAACCGATTTGAAAAGGAATCGCGTATTTTACGTGTTCCCTAATGCACAAACAAGCCGGGCGACCGTACGGCTGTAAAACCAAAAACCGAATGACTCAAAGTGCAAGACCGGGGCGCGACGGGTCGGGAGCGGAGATCTCTTGTCTTTTAACTTGGTGTGCGGCTAGTACTCCAGGGCCAGATTACATAGTAAATAAACAAAGTGATGTCTTCGGACTGGACCTACAGTATAATTAACCATAACAGAGTTAATGACAGTTTTTGAAGTAACTTTAAATGAAAAAAACTTTTGTCCGGATTCTTAATTCAAATACCCGTATGTGCGGCGGTCTTGTCCTCCACAAAAACTCAACAGAGAAACCTGACCATTTTATCACTTGGCAAGATAAGATATTTCAAAAATTCTTGAATTCTAATAAGCATACGTAGGTGTTTCTCTTTATTTATCACTCAGTATACATGTGAACTTCAGTTGATGTTATGACACAATGTAATCACATGGCATTTTTATGGGATATTACTTTTTATAAATAAAAATATGTACGATTGAACGCTTCCTCATTCACCAATCTCCCAGCACGACGTCAGAGGCTTTCTACTATTTTAATTCATCTTTTTAGGAAGAAGAACTGGACCGTGTAAAAAACCTGGTGCTAATAGGGAAGATTCCGAT